GGGCGAGCATGTTTGGTGTGACGGAGATTCGAACCCGCGACCCGCAGATTGCGAGTCAAGTACCTTAACCACCTGGCCATGCCGGGCCCTCATCAGTAGAAGCTTGCAGCTTTCAGTTTAATCATATGCATTTTTGGGCAGTGTGTGCGTTATAAGAGTAATTGGCAAATCCACTATTTGATTAGAATGGCGGTGAGTGCTTTTGACTAACTGCCTCCACTCTAGTCTATCAGTTCAAAATTAGGAGCGGCGATGCGTAGATAGCCATTTGCATGTTAAATTCTGAAACTTTTCTCTTTTCGTTATTACGCATATGTTTAAATACTGCTTCTGATTTAATCCAGAAATTCATGTTTAATTGGGAAACTTCTTGTAAAAGCATTGTTTCCTGAAACTCCTGTTAATTAATTGCCTTTAAAAAGATAAAACGTACTTTCGTTACATTTCATCTCCTTTGAGTCGATGAAATTTCTGATCATCATACACCAATGCGCAACATCAATTTTTTAGGTGTTTTGGTATTGTTTGATGAATTCTAACAAGGTACAATTTATATCAAGTTAAAATTCGACCTGTATCTTTAGAAGAAAAAGAAGTAATAAGCTATTTTCTCTACATTTTGATCATCAGTAGTCGTTAAATATCCTTAATGTATTAAGTTTGGTTTTTGTTTGCGATTCGAGCGCCCTAACAAAGGATCAAGTGCCATTGTGATTGGGGATAATGTTATAGTATATGAAGCGGTGTTTTTGCAATTATTGTTTTTAAGAAGGATATATTTTTAACGCTAATTTGTAAGAACAGATGTATGACATTCCAAACCAAAATTTATTACAAATTTTAACTTTTTAATCATATTATTGTAGTGACAAAATTAAATCTTACGTCAGAAGTTGTGTAATGTATGTTTTTGAAGTAAACTATTATGTTTCTCAGTAAAAGGTATGATATTTCAAGGGCCGAGTGTGGCTTATGGCTAGCATGCCGAACTGCCTTTCAGAAGGCCCTAGATTCGAGCCACGATATGCCGTTGAACACTTTCAACTGTGGAGATGTTATAATTATGGCAGACCTTCTTTTCTTTCTGCTATTCAATACAGAGTAACTATGTAGGCGGCAGGTGCTGATGGTTAGTTGCCTGTGTATCTTGTATCTGATTAGCAGTTCTAAATTAGGTATGACAGTAACTAAACCTAAGGAGTCTCTGATCTGGCCGTTTAGCCCATGTACCCGATTATCTGTGAATGTTGCAGTTAGAACGTTATTGTTTGTACCGAAGTAATGATTCTAATGGATGGTATTGTCTAGTTTAGAATTTTTGTTTTATTTATCACAGTCAAATAACGAGGTAAAAGATGTTGTCAGACAGTTACTTGATGCGTTTAATTGGTAAATAGAATATATACATAAAAGGTAATTGCTAGAAACAAAAATGTAATTAGTTTCTATTATATATAAGGTAATCACCCCGTGCGAAGATGTAATTTAATTCTCCCTTACAGGATAACATCCAATCGTGGAAAAATCGCAACATTTATAGACGTAAGCTATATCTTTGTCACAAAGTGAACGCCATGCGTAAGACGTAGGTTACTTCTCTGCAACAAACTAGTCGCCACATGTGACGTAAGTTACTCTTCGCCCTCACACTATTTAGTGACTCCAAAAGGTCATAACACGTGTGTTTCGGATATCGAAGTCCCATCTTATATAGAGCTTTAATTTACCTCAGAATTTTATAACCGCACACAAACTTTGTGTCATAACTTAACTCATTACTGCATTGTTTTTGTTTTTCACATCTGAAAACGTGAACGACCTCTCCCACTTATATATATGTATTATGTACTCTGATACGCAAAGGCTGAACATATATTTAGAATAAACTGAGTGTAAGTTCAACAGTCAATAAAATTAGTACGTATTTTCCTATAAATCGATACATGAAAACGTATGTTAGCCCTCCATCACCAAGTAATCGTCAAATGTGGCGACGTAAATTACTCCTCGTTTACTAAGTAATCGCACGTGGAAACGTACCATCACCAAAAATATCTAACAAGTTAAATACTGATTTCAACGACTGGTTGTAAAATGGAAAATATTTGCTGATATTTTATAGAATCCGACATCATAACTAACTGACAACACTGCCAAGCTGTGTCAGCTGTCAGTATTTATTTATATTGACATCTAGCATAAGTTAATATGTTTCATAGTGCGTTCTACGAACTCAAAGTGAATAATCTTCAGGTGCTAAAGCTTCAAACTCTCGTGCTGTGAAAGAGGACGAAAGCTGCTTGTATAAGAAAAAATGGACACCACATTGTTTCCCACACCTAAAGACATGCTCCCTTTACATAATATTATCTTCGATATAGAGATGCAAATTAGCTTACTGAAATGTGGTATGACATTAGCACTGTTGACTCCGTATAAGTAAAGCCCTCGCGGACCTTGGTCTAATCCACTAACGTTGGAATGAAATGTGGTGAAAACATTGGAGATTTAAGTTATATATAAATGTCTGTTTTCAAGGACCCTTCCAATAATTTTCGTAGACCTGTGGTTGATAATCTGCGACTTAAGACATTCATTCCAGAAACTATTTTGTTTTCCAGATTGAAACATTGGAGAAGGTATTCCCATTGTAAAAGTTGTTTCATAGTTTTGAAATTAACATAAGTTTTTTGTTATTTTTATCGTATAGAATTTGTTTTGATGGCTCGAAACTGGAGTTTGCTTAGAAACATACAATAATATAGTAATTACAAATTGTTGGTAGAAACTGGAGTCTACTTTGATACATACAAGAATATTGTAATTACAAATTGTTGGTAGAAACTGGAATCTACTTAGAAATATCAAGGATATTGTGATGACAAATTGTTGGTAGAAATTGGAGTCTATTTAGAAACATACAAGAATATTGCAATGACAAATCGTTGGTAGACAACACTATCGCCTTGTCAATTAATAAATAAACTTTTCAGTGATTATTCTTTGATAAACAAAAATGTCATTCTATCTATAGTCCATATAACCATTTTGATACTAATACATTCGCAGTCATCAATTGCATGCTACTTATAGTATGTTTATGACATACTACAACTGGCCAACCATGAAGATCTCTAACAGGTGGTGGATTAAGTAAAATAAAGCAGCAGAAGCATAGTATGGAATTTCATATGAGCTGCTTTCTCCTGCTTCGGTTTTTGAGCTGCTTTCTCCTGCTTCGGTTTTTGAGCTGCTTTCTCCTGCTTCGGTTTTTGAATTTCAGATTTTTTTTTAACTTAGCTTTGAGGCCTCAGGGTTAAAGTCCTTCATGTAGTGCACCTCAAAACAAAGCAGGAACGAGCAGTTCAAACTCTGTAATATCTGTGCTGCCTAAAATTAATAATAGCAAATAAAAGAAACGTGCTTATTCGTAAATTTTAAGAACACTGGGGCCCTAGTAACCGGAAAGTAACATGTTGTGACCACATTATGGAAAATGACGAAGAAACTGGAAGCACTGTGACACTTTTAAGTGTTTTTAGTTCATCGATCCTCTTAAATATTTTGGGGATCTCAGCCACAGAAGGATACTACAGCATTCATAGGATGAAATGTGGGATTATTACGACTAAAATCAAATTCTAGGAACTTACACAATTGACAAATGGCTAATTTGGCACTTTGAAATATAAAGATGCGAAACTTATGAGAACTGGAGAATGTGAACTGTTTAAAGGCTGAAGAGTTTGAGACAGGGTGACTGACACAGGTGGTTCTACAGAATTTTCCATGTGAAACACAAGGTCATTCAGTTCGTTCCTCAGAAACTTTGAATGTACAGTCAAGACTAGGAAGATGATATTATTTAGGTAAATCTCAAATAAATAATACAACACGCTGGTGAAGATGGTTCCGAGAAAGTAGTGCCGTTAAAAACAAAAGGGTCAGTTATGGGTCAACGTAGAGCGTTGGCCAGGAATTAGGGTAGGGTAAAAAGAAGATCAGAAATAGGTTATTCTGCTCATTCTGTTGCCTACATAAGACATGAATGCAATAACCGTGTCAGGTCTAAATATTGTGCA